AGCAACCTCCAACTCCTGGGCTCAAGTGAGTCTCCAGCCTCAGCCTCCCAAGTAGCTGGGACCACAGGCGCCCGCCACAACGCCCGGCTATTTTTTTTGGCTGCAGCCGTCATTGTTGTTTGGCAGGCCCGGGCTGGATTCAACCTTAGCCACTTGAGCCACAGGCGCTGAGCCTCCCTAAGTTTTCTTCTGTAAGTTATTTTATAGTTTGGGCTTTTGCACTTAAGGTCTATCATTCATTTAATTTTTATGTTAACTGTGAGAGAAGAGTCAATGTCAAGAGAAAGAAAAAGAAAATAAAAAAGTAAATATCCATATTTTCCCCTATAGATAACCCTTTGTCCGAACACCATTTGTTGAAAAGAAACTTCCCTGTAAAACTGTGTGACATCCTTGCCAAAAATCTAATGAATATGTATGCGTGTTTGTACATGGGGTTTATTCATTCCAGGGACCCCAGTATCTACCTTTTACCAATTTTACTTTTGTGGCTTGAGATTAAGTCTTAAGTCTTAATATCGAGAGGTGTAAGTTTTCCAACCTTTTAATTGCTTGAACTATTCCACATAAATGTTGGCATTTCCACACATGTTTTAGAATCAGCTAGTCAATTTTAACTAAAGACGCCTGCTAGAATTCAACTTACTGGAACTGAATTGCCTTTACCAATACATTTTATGACAACTGATATCTTTAACAGTACTTTATAAAACTATCTATACATATTGTATATTTCTCCATAGATTTAGCTCTTTAATTTTTTATAGCAAATATTCAGTGTGGAGATCTCATACATCCTCCGTACATTTATTCCTTAGTATTTTATGTTTAATCCAACAAATACTGTTACTTAATTTTTCAAACATGGCTGCTAGTATATAAAACCATTTTTTAAAAATATAATTGTGTGTCTGGCAATCTTGCTAAATTCAGTTACTAGTTGTTTTGTAGATTTGTGAGTATCTCCCACAAAAATAATAATGTCATCTGGCTCAGCCCCCATAGCTCAGTGGTTAGGGCACTGGCCACATGCACTGGGACTGGTGGGTTTGAACCTAGCCAGGGCCTGCTAAACATAATGACAGTATTAACAAAAAAATAGCCAGGCACCTATAGTCCCAGCTACTTGGAAGGCTGAGACAAGAGAATAACTTAAGCCTAAGAATTTGAGGTTGCTGTGAGCTGTGATGACACAGCACTCTAACAAGTGTGACACAGTGACACTGTCTCAAAAAAATAACTAAATAAAAAATAATATCATCGGAAAATATAAAACTTCTTCCTTTCTGGTATTTATGCCCCTTTCCCCCTCCAACAATGCACACTTTGTTACCTGCTTAGTGTTTGAAGTCATTCCAAAGTGATATCCATGCCAAAAATTTCTAACAATTATAAGCAACAATTTTCAATTGACCAAAAGAAATATTATTGAAAAACCTCATTTTATTAGGTGAAGAAAAGAATATTTATCCAAAGAAAAAAGGAATAAATCTTAGTTAAGAAGAAGCAAATAGGCTCCCAGGCCTACCAAACAACCATGACCACTGCAACAAAAAAACCCAGCTGGGCATTGTAGCAGGCTCCTGTAGTCCCAGCTACTTGGGAGTCTGAGGCAAGAGAACCGCTTAAGCCCAAGAGTTTGAGGTTGCTGTGAGCTGTGACACCACAACACTCTACCCAGAGTGACAGAGTGAGATTCTACCTCAAAAAAAAAAAAAAAACTAAGTAAAATGATCATGGGTATATTCCTAAATAAAAAATCTAAAACTATATAACATCTGTATCACTTCCATCAAAGGTAGAATTATGAGAAAATTAGTAACACATGGATCCTCCAAACTTCTCATTATGTTCTCCTGTTTAATATAGTAAGTTAGCATTTACTGAGTGCTGAATACGTACTTGATTGTTCTGATTCTCACAATATTCCCTTGAGTAAATCATTAATTATATCCCCGTTTTATATATGAGGAAATTAAACCAAACCAAATTAACAAAGGTTACCCAGATAAACTAGCAGAGCCTGGGTAAGAACTCGACAGAGTTTGACCCTACAACCAGTGAATTTTAACTTTAACTATAATGTTATTTTACCTCTTCTTCAATACCCACGTAATAGCCACATCACTCTAAAAGACTTAACAAAAGTAGTAAAATACACTTACTGGTTTTGGCATTTTTCTTCTTTTTTTGTTAACTTCTTTAAAAAATCTTCACTTCTATGAACTCTGTTGCTACCTTCTGTTAAAGAAAAAGAAAGCATAATTTATCTAGTATCTTTTTATGTAAGGTTTTAATTTTAACTATGTAGAGTAAGATAAAAATTAAAACATTTTAAAATGTGGATTTACCCTAACATGGAGTTATCTTATTTTATCCCAATTTTCAATGTCTTCTACTAGCATTTCACTTTCCCTAAAAAGACTGAAATCTGAGATTTAAAATACATGTGTGGTATAATACAGCATACTGATCTGCTATGAGTTTCAATTTAATTACAGATGATATACAGCAAGGAAACACGACTACTAAGGGCCCAAACACTGCTTTTCTTTGAGTCAGGTTTCTCCCCTATACCAAAAAGGTAAGAGAAAGGGACAGTGAAAGTGAGGCTAGATGGATTCAACTTCTAATGTGTTGAGTTCAAGAATACTTCTGAGTCTGAGCTCAGGAGTTTGAGAACAGCCTGAGCAAGAAGACCATGTCTCTAAAAATAGCCAGGCATTGTGGTGGGCATGTGTAGTCCCAGCTACCCAGGAGGCTGAGGCAAGAGGATCACTTGAGCCCAAGAGTTTGAGGTTGCTGTGAGCTATGTCGTCACCACCCTCTACCAAGGGTAAGAGTAGACTCTGTCTCAAAAAAACAAACAAAAAAAAAACCTTTTAAGTGTTTTTTCTTTTTTTTTTATTAAGTCATTTGTACATAGATCATGAATACATTTATGCCATTATAGGATTCAATGTGTTGATTATATGTACAAATTGGAGTGCTTACATCCTACTAATCAACACATCCTTCACCTCATTCACCCAATTACAGGATTAAGACATTTGTGTTCTACACCTGATAGATCCAACTTGTACTTGCAATATGCTCCATAGGTGTGGTCCCCCTACCAACCCTCCCCTCCATCAACCCACCCTTCAGTGTTTCTTCTATACTGCCTAAGAGAAAAGGAAATTCTGACTAATGTCCTTTACAACAGGACACATAACAGGAAAATTATTTTTCCTTCTTGAAAGCTGAAAAATCTGACTAGAGAAAAACGACCTAAGAAGCTTACTCATGTAACATGTATAAACAGCCATAATTCTGCACACTAACAACATACATGCTATTGACCAGGAAGCTAGTACCCTCATTAAAATTTATAATTACCCATAAGACCAATGTTCAAGTGTATCTTCTACCACTAACGCACCAAATCTTAATAAGAAGAACCACCTTGTCTTATGGTAAATGTTCCTATTAAGAAACATCTAATAGGCTTGACACCCTAGCACAGCGGTTACAGCACTAGTCAGCCACATGCACAGAGAGTGGCAGGTTCAAACCCAGCCCAGGCCTGCTAAACAACAATGACAACTGCAAACAAACAAACAAAAAACAGCCAGGTGTTATGGCGGGTACCTGTAGTCCCAGCTACTTAGGAGGCTGAGGCAAGAGTTTAAGGTTGCTGTGAGCTGTGATGCTACAGCACCCTGAGGGCAACAAAGTGAGACTCTGTCTCTTAAAAAAAAGGAAAAACATGCAATTAAATTGGCTACCTCTTTATAAATCTACCAATAGATCTACATGAAAAATTCTTAATCATTTTTAGGTGTTTAAAAAAAATCATTTCAATTTGAAAACCTATAGTAAAATGCATTAAACTATTACTTGAGAAAAGCTTATCTAGGTAATATCTCTGCTGAGAAACTAAATTAATATACGATTTATATTGTGTTTTTAAGTTCTATTATCAATTGCTTTTTAAGATACCATAACTAATAGAACTGGAAATTCTCCAAGTTGAAATAAAAATGAAGTTGAAATAAGGTCATTTCCCTTGATTTTACTCATGACTGACTGATAACCAATAAATCTCTCTACAGAAGGAAGTGTATAAACTCAGCTGGAAATACAAACCTCTGATTTCATTTCATCTCTTTTCTTTTCTTTTGAGACAGGATCTTAATGTCGTCCAGGCTGGAATACCCTGGCATCATCATAGCTTACCACTGCCTCCAACTCCTGGCTCAAGCAATGACCTGCCTTAACCCGCTCTGTCACTTGGACTACAGGGACACTATACCCAGCTAATTTTTTGCAGTTTTTTTCTAGAGATGAGCTCTCACTATTGCCCAGGCTGGACTTGAACTCCTTGCCTCAAGCAATCTTCCTTCCTTGGCCTCCTAAATAGCTAGGAATACAGATCTGAGCCACCACATCACACCTCTTATTGCTGTTTTGTTTTGCTTTTGAGACAAGCCCTGCTCTGTCACTCAGGCTGGAATACAGTGGTGCAATCCCAGCTCACTGCAGCCTCCAACCTCTGGGCTCAAGGTATTTCCCACCTCAGCCTCTCATGTAGCTGGAACTCAAGGAGACCACCATTTGTCCTGGCTGAAACCTCATTTGTATTCCCCACCTATAGTCACCTACTTTCATGAACCTAAACGTACTTCAATTTTTTAATTCTATACCCTGGTATCATCCCAACTCTCATGCCTTAATTCAGATCTTGTCATCTTAAGTCTTGATTAAAACAGCCTCCAAACTGACCTGTTTTCCACATCACTTATAAGCCAGTGGCTTACATGGGCAAGACACCTGAATCTCTACTCATTAGCCAAATCTGCTTTTCTTCAAGATTGACTTATCTATTTCTAGAAAGTCATCCCTAATATTCTCTCATGGCTTTCGTCCCTACATCTCAAGTTAGATTTCATTCCTATTACTGTTAATTTTTGCCTTCCCTTTTTCTTGATTAATCTTCCCTGAATTTTGCCTAGTTTATAGGTCTAAAACTTAGTTTTCAGTTTTGTTGACTTTCTTTTATTTTTGTCTTATTAAGTTTACTCACTTCTTCATTATTTTTCCTCTCACTCGTTGTTTTGGCTTTACTCTATAATTCACTTCTAAGCCTTAAAAATAAAAGTTTACCTGAATAATTTTCTTTTTTCTTTACTAATTCATACATTATGATCATAAACCTAGTATGCCCACGTATAAGGCAACTTGAAATATAAAGCTCCCTAATTTACCAGTGAGAATATTAATCATTATTATTTGAACCTATAATTATGTAGTTATATCAGTATATTTAAATGTTAAAAACATGACTTATAAGATATTGATTTGCAAATAGTTTGCTTCGTCTCACATTTCGCAGAAAAATTTTATTCAAACTCCTCACATATACATGCAACCTGAGTGTCTACTTAAAATCTTTTTTTTTTTTTTTTGCAGTTTTTGGCCAGGGCTGGGTTTGAACCCACCACCTCTGGCATATGGGGCTGGCGCCCTACCCGCTTTTTTTTTTCTTTTTGAGACAGAGTTTCACAATGTTGCCCTCAGTAGAGTACCATGGCGTCACAGCTCACAGCAACCTCCAACTCTGGTGCTTAAGCAATTCTCTTGCCTCAGCCTCCCTATGGGCCCACCACATTTATTTTTTGGTTGTAGTTGTCATTGTTTGGCAGGCCTAAGTTGGGTTTGAACTCGCCAGCTCCGGTGCATGTGGCTGGCACCCTAGCTGCTTGAGTTACAGGCGCCGAGCCATTACTATTTTTTTAATTATGACAATTTGCTGATTAAACAGTTTTGAGTCAGTATATTATACAATCACTAAAATGTTTATCCCAAGTTTAAGTGGCTTATCATGTGGGTAATAAATGGCCAAACTGCAGGTCTTCTGATGCCTAGCAGTCAAAGATTCACCACATGCCAGCCTTTTTTATATTAAAAAGCATAAAGCAGAGCAGCACCTGTGGCTCACTGAGTAGGGCACTGGCCCCATATACCAAGGGTGGTGGGTTCAAACCCGGCCCTGGCCAAACTGCAACCCAAAAAATAGCCGGGCATTGCGGTGGGCACCTGTAGTCTCAGCCACTTGGGAGGCTGAGGCAGGAGAATCACCTAACCCCAGGAGTTGAAGGTTGCTGTGAACTGTGACGCCACAGCACTCTACCAAGGGCAATAAAGTGAGACTCTGTCTCTTAAAAAAAAAAAAAGTGTTAATTTCATTTGCTCAAAGACAATATTTTAGAATGTGTATAATGATACAACTACAAAGATTCTAACAAGCATATGTGATACTGAGAGTTCAGCTGAGTGAATCCCAGCATATCTGCAGGCTCTGCTGGGTCACAGTGCAGCCACTCAGCATGTGAGAAATGTCATCTGACGGGGCAAATGTTCACAGACCACTCAGTATGCTGGAAAAAACCAGCCAGAGAATATCATCACATTTATTTTTAAAAAGTATAAATGAAGAAACCAGATAATTATACTCCCAAACTTTAAGAGACTCTCAGAATTAGAATGAATCTATAAATTTCTAAAACAAAAATGAAGAACTTTTGTGATAAACTAATTTCTTAAAATGGAAGAATAAAATTATTCTAAGTAAATAAAGCAAGTTGGATCTCTTGTACAATACCATTTAATAAAATAAGTTAATTTTTTTCTAGTAAACAATTCTTAAAACAGTTCTAGTTTCAGAGGAATATATAGGTTATGATAAAAACAGATAATATGTTAGATTTCAAATCTATCAACAGGTAGAATAAAAGAAATATCAAAAGAAATGTGAGAGTAGAAAAATATACAATAGCCATAATAAAGTTGCTATGCAAAATAAATGATTACATATATGATCATTTCACTAAGATTCCACCCACTAAACAGTTAACTGAGAAACTGCACAAATAAATCTGGCCTGAATAAAAAATGTATAAATGTGTTACTGATCAAAACTGCAAATCAAAGTGACTTTCAGGTATTACTGATTATATATGCATTAAGATACCAAAATAAGCATTAATTATACATGCCAATGTTGGTAAGATTGTTGACAAACAAATAGATAAATATTGCTGATAGATCATAAATTGGCCTGTCCTTCTCTGTAGTAAGTTGCCAATAGACACCAGAAGCTAGGGAGCTTTTCTGAACAGGAAATTCTGCTTCTAGGAAAAACCACCAGGGAAATCTATCCCCAAGGAAATCAACAGAAAGAAAGTAATCTGTACCAAGAA